AAGAGCAATATGCAAAAGGTTCTTTCATCATTAAGTCACAAACTTTGTCTTTTTACGGAGGAAGGGGAGATCTCCATAGCAGTCTTCCCCTTACATCTCATTTGTCAGAACTGGGTCACTAGCTCACCCTGAGAACAATCACTGGCCAAAGGGAATGAGACTACTAGGATTGCTTGATGCCAATTAAGGTTTGTTTCTTGGGGCTATCTTCCTGAAAGCAATGGATATCTAATCCCTATGGACAAAAATTGAGGGGGTGACAGGTGAGGTTTAAGGCAGGGAATGATTGTAAATTAGACAGTAACCAATATCTGACAAAGTTGCTAACATTTACGGTTTTGGAGAGTTCATTTATAAATCTAACTTGCAGAGTGGGAAGGTGAGACAACACGTGTCCAGCACTGGCCGTCCTCTTCAGGTGAGCTGTGTGCTCTTGGGCTTGCCGCTCTTATCCCTCGCCCATCAGCCTCCCCAATTTCCGCTGTCCCCTGAGCCCCTTGAGCATTTGAGTTTGTGACCCTTGACTTAGGCTTTGTTTTAGAGTGATCTGTGTGCTTATATGTTTCTCCCACTGGGTGAACACAGTGTTTGGCATGTAAGTTATAAATTATAAATAAGACGGGAATGTGGGGAGAATAGCCCATCCTAATAAGCCAAGCGACCATATGCATGAGAAGAGCGGTAAAGGATTCACCATCAGAGAGACCTCACCTCTGCTACTTACCAGTGTTCCCAGGCCAATTCTCAGTTTCCTCATCTGTAAAATGAGGGTATAGTATCTGCTCCCCAGCATCATCGAGACGCTTACATGGGCTCATGCTGTAAATCCCCAGGCAAAAATCATAGAAATTCCTGTCCCTTCTCTAGGAAGGAGTAATAACCTCAACTGAGAAGAATTTGGGATGGAATTAGGAAGGAAGATTTTTCAGAGCTGAGGCTACATCTTACTAGCTCTGCATGGCTAGAAGTGCTTAATAAATATTCAGTAATGATTATTTAGCTTGGTAGAATGTAATTATATAAATTGTAAAAATATAATTACGCCAGGCTGTCATTACAGATAATGGCCTGAATACAGGGATAATGATGGGCAAACCAGAGCCCACCATCACGGTGGCTGCCAACAGGCAGGCGAACTTGTGGTGCTGCAGCGGGTGGGAGTGGGGGGTGGAAAGGCTGGCATCAGGGGGCGAGGGATGGGAGGGAGCAATCTGAGCCAAAGGGAGAGTTGGCAGGAGCCAGACTACAGGGCTTTGTGGTCCAGGATAGGATAGTGGGCACTTACTGGAGAGTTTTCAGCAGGAGAGTGACAAGAGCTGGTATTTTATTTAAAAATAAATTGTTTTTTGTCATGGCCAAATAAATATACACAACATAAAATTCACCTTTTAAGCCATTTTTAAGTGTATGATTCAGTAGCATAAGCACATTCACAGTGTTGTGCAGCCATCACCACCATCCATCTCCAGAGCTTTTCATCCTCCCAAACTGAACCTGTATCTATTAAATAATAACTCCCCACCCCCCCTGCCCACCGCCCCTGGCACCCACATAACTACTTTGTCTCTCTGAACTTCACTGCTCTAGGCCCCTCATACAAGTAGAATTATACAGTATGTGTCCTTCTGTGACTGGCTTATTTCATTTAACATAATGTCCTCCAGACCCAGCCATGTTGCAGCACGTGTCAGAGTTCCCTTCCTCCCAAGGCTGTTTTCAGAGTGTCCCTTGTGTGGCCAGACCACGTTTTGTTTAGCCATCTGCCTGTCAAGGGGCACTTGGCCCGCTTCTGCCTTGTGACTGTCACGAATGGTGCTGTTACGAACACAGGTGTCCAAATATCTGTTTGAGTCCCTGCTTTCAACTCCTTTGGGTATATGCCCAGGAGTGAAATTGCTAGACCATATGATAATTCCATGTCATTTTTTGAGGAGCTGCCATACCGCTTTCTACAGGGGCTGCACCATTTCAATGTTCCCACAAGCAGTGTGAACATGCCAGTGTTCCCACACCCAGGTCAATACTTATTTTCTGCTTTTTTGATAATAGACATCCTAGTGGGTGTGAAGTCGCACCTTGCTGAGCTTCGGGTCTGCACATCCCTGGTGACATACCGTGTATATTTCCATAGGCCCACTGGCCACCTGTATGTCTTCTGTGGAAAAATGTCAAAGTCCTCGCTCATTTTTTAATCAGTTGTCTATTTTTTGGTGGTTGAGTTATAGAGTTCTTTATTCTGGGTGTCGACCTCTTCCCACGTACGTGATCTGGACATGTTTTCCCCCTTTCCTGCCCCACCCGGTCACTCTGCTGACGGTGCCCTTCGGCGCACACACATTTTTCAGTTCCGTGCCCAACATACCTACTTTGTTCTTTTGTTGCTCTGCTTTTATCCAAGAAATCGTCGCCATGTGTGTTTTTCCCTGTGTTTTCTTCTGAGAGTTTTAGTTTCAGCTCTCATTTCATGTCTTAGGCGAGGTGAGCCCAGTGGCACTCTTTTGCAGGTGGATATTCAGTTTTCCCAGTACCATTCGTCGAAAAGACTGTTCTTGCACCATTGAGTCGTCTTGACATCCTTGCCAAGTATCATTTGCCTATATATGCTGGCAGCTTATTTCTGGCCTCCATATTCTGTTCCTCTGCTCTGTATGTTGGTCTTCATGCCAGGACCACGCTGTGTTGATTCCTGCAGCTTTGTAGTAAGTTTTGAAGTGAAGAAGTGTGAGACCTCCAACTTTGTTCTTTTTTGGCTGTATTGAGTCCCTTGGGATTCCGTATGATATTTGGGATGTATTCTATTTCTGCAAAGAACATCATTGGCTGATATGTGATTTTAAATTGGGGGCCTGGTAAGCATAGAAGGAGGCCTATTTGGAGACAGTTCAGACAAGAACTGATGGTTCTTCTGAATGGCTGGGTAGCATAGGCTACAGAGACCCCTGGAGGGATTTGGAAACTGTTTGGGTAGGGAGATCAGTAGGATTTAGTGATGGGTTGGACGTGGGTGAGGAGGAAATGAGGAATCTAGAACAGCTCCTCAGGTGTGGCTCGGGGCAGATGGTGGTACCCATTGCTGAGATGGGGAGAACAGGAACAGGTTTGGGAATGAGGGTGTCAAGAGGCAGGCAGTCCGAGATGGCTGGGAGAGAGCAGGTGGCAAGCAAAGTCAGCTAGGCTGCGGACACCCAAGCATGGAACACGGTGGGGGCTGCAGGGCTGGGGAAGAGCTGCGAGTGTCAGCACCAGAGGGGCGGCCTGTGCAGCCTTGAGGCGGCTGCGGCAGCTGAGGAAGGCGAGTAGCTGGAGCAGGGGCCCGAGTAGCCGCTGGGATCGTGTAGGCGTCACTCTCATTCACTTGGGGTTGGTGACCCCCAAGCTCCCGTGCAGCCCTCTTGTGGCTCCGCGCTGTCCACCAGCACCCCATGTCTCCCTCCTTCACCCCTCTCCTCCCTGAGAGCTTTCCTGACCGCCTCAGCCTCTGCACCTCCTTCTCCTCTCCAGGCCGCATGCCAGCCCTGCTGTGGGGGCCTTGTCTGTGTAGCTGAGGCTGTAGGAGCTTGCAGAGCCCTTGAAGACAGGGAACTTGTTTCATTCATCTTTGTTTTCCCAGTGCCCAGTATGGAGCCTGGACCATGGGCCTCTGGATGGAGAGATTAAGGGGTAATTTTTAAATTATTTTTTAATTAATGTTCTAATTTCTGTACCCTGGCCATGTATTATTTGTATAATTATCAAAAATAACAGAAGACTCTAAAAACAGAGAGGTGGAAGTGTAATAAATAAGGATTTGGAGATGATAACAGAATGACCAAAGCTAAGTGCATTCACTCATACATTCCATAATAATTGATGTGGCACCCACGGTGGGCAACCCTTTAACGGGAGCGGGAGCTGCGCTCTGTGCGAGAAGAGGCTGGCTGAGGGGCCCCTGGTGGCAGAGTGCGCCCCGACTGCCCTCGCGCTGCTGCTGGTTAGCCTGCATGGTGCAGCGACTTTGGAAAACAGGTTGGTGGGTCTTAAGAATGTAAACATATTCTTACATGTGACCCAGCAGGTCCACTCATGATATTTACCCCAAGAAACAAATGAATATGTCCATACAGAAGATTGTCCCCGAATGTCCATATCAGCTTGCATCGTGGCTAAAATGGAAACAACCCAAATGCCCGGGAACAGATGAACAAATTGTGACACATCTGCACAATGGCATTCACAGTAAAAAGAGAACTGCTGATACACCCAGTAATCTGGTGAAGCATTATGCTAAGTAAAAGAAGCCAGACCCAGAGGAGTGCATACTGCGTGACTCCATTTATATGAAATTCCAGATCAAGCAATACTAACTTGCTATGACAGAAGGCAGATCCTCGGTTGCCTGCCGGGCTGGGGCTGGGGCTGGGGCTGACTGCAGGGGCATGGTGGGAATGTTCTGTATCTGGGGAGATGGAAATGTTTGGTACCTTGATTGTGATGGTTAGTTACAAGGGTGTAATGTTTGTCACAACTCATTAAACTGTACACTTAAAACGGATGCCTTTTGTTGTATGAAATTAGATCACAATGAAGTTGATTTTTTTAAAAAGAAAATGGCACAGCTCCTGCTCTTACAGAGCCAGCAGGGATGAGATGTGATGCAAGCAATGAGAGAAATGCATGCAGAGTCGCAAACTGAAGCTGTGCGGGGCTCGGCGGGGTCTCTGAGAAACCAGGGCCCAAGGTCGCCTGGGAGGTAAAGCCTGACCAGGGACTGAGTGCCACTGTCAGCATCATTATGAATAACTTTTGTTATTACCAAGGCACCGTTTCCTGTGCATGGAGAAACAAGAGTAAGAAGACAGGTAGAAGGAAGGAGAGAAGGGCTAAGCCCCCCGCCAACCCTGCCTACCCAGCGCTTTGTCGGGAGGTACACCCCCAGGCCCTTCCTGCTGAGCTGGGCCTTAGAGGCTGAGCAGGTGTCACTGGCCCCACGCGGCAGGCCCTGTGGCTGAAAGGAGCAGCCTGTCTAGGTGGAGGGTGAAGGCAACCCAGTCAGTTGATCAAACTAGGACTTGGGCTACCCTACGCCGTCTGAGTTAGCCATGCTGGAGGGAGGCTGGGCCACAGCCATAGCTACAGCTGTGGCTACGGCTGCCCGGAGGGAATGGCCAGGACCCAGAGTCCTGATGGGGGCCGGTGGGGTGGAGGTGGAAGGGGCTCAGGACCCAGCTGTGACGTGGGAGCTGTACCTCTGTGCCCGTGGCCCCACACCCTCAGGTATACAGAATTGAGCTGTCCATTCACAAACCACATTACTAATTCTGCCTGTCAGTGATTAGGCTTAGCAACGGTCAGTGGGAATCAGGCCCAGGGCATTCCTGTGCTGCCCACTCAGCCAGACACCTCTCCAGGAGAGCCCACTGAGTGTCACCTGTGTCCTTCACGCCCCCATAGGCTTTCCCTGCAGGGGGGCGGGGGCATCGCAGTGAGACCTGTGTCTCTCATCAGCACCTGGCACTTCCCCAGGTCCAGGTGAGCAGCAGGCTGGAAGCCATGGGCTTGAGGCATGGTGTTCTGTGGGGTCTGTAGCCCTGGAAGCCCAGAGCGCGCCTGGGCACCCTTCAGTAAGGAGCGCATGGTGCTGCCCCTTCCCGCAGATCGGCCCCCACCCCAGCTCCAGGGACCTGCTCTCAGCCCAGGAGAGAGGCGTGTGCTAAGCCCAGGCCTGGGTGCCTCACAGCACAGGGCCCTTGGGGACCCCCTGCTCCTCTAGGCCCTCTGTCCATCCTGCCTTTGCTGGCCCCCACGTGACCTCCAGGGGCGTTGTCACCACGGCGCGCCTGGGGGCTCAGTCTCATTCCCCAGCTGGGCCTGCTGGTCTGTGTGGTGCCGGCAAGTTGCTCTGGCTCTGGGCCCCTTCCCAGCCCTGAAGGAAGATCAGATCCAGTTGGTGGCTGGCGTGAGGACCTCGCAAGCCGACGTGAAGATCGCCCGCCCGGTGCGAGGCCCGGGACATGCAGCAGTCTGTCCATCTATCCACTCCTGGATTTTGCCCTTTGACGAAGCTACTGCCTGTCTGCCTGTGGTTTGCACAGAAGGTCCTGGTTCCCACATTTGAACCACAGTGATTATTAACAACCCCCTTTTCACTCTCAAAAGTGTCCCGGCTTGGATAACAAATGATGTTATTTGTCATGGCCTACAGCTGGGAGCCTACAGCTGGCAGTGGGCTGGCACCCCACAGTAACGGATGGGCAGGAGGGGTCCCAGGCCGGTGTCCATTCAACGTTCCTGGTACGTTTCAGGTCTTGGCTGGTTTGCCTAGAAAGCACACCGATTCAGCGTACATTCGTTAGGTGACAAGATGTTTAGCATTTGGGGGAATCCTTTTTTTTTTTAAAGAGGTCCTTTAAGCAAGTTCTTTTTTTTTGTAAGCAAGTCTCTCTTGGGATTCCTTTGCCTTAATCTGAAGTAATGTTTCAAACAAATGTCCCCGTAACGATAGTTAACACAGTGAGGGATTTCAGGAGAAGCCAACTCAGAGCAGGGAAGGCACCGCCACCCCCTTAGAGTCCAGGAAGGGCCACTGTGATGTTTCGAGCACCTGTGTCCCCGGGCTTCACCTTCCCTCAGGGTCGGTGGGAATGCCAGCCACCCGCCTCACCTTGGTCTGCAGTCCTGTCGGCTCAGTGTGGTCACCCTGGTGGGAGCTCCTGCTGATCAGAAACTCTAGCGGTGATTTTCAGTGAGTTTGACTAAAAGATGGGAGATGAAGCAGCAATTTATGAATGTGGCTGGTTTGGCAGGGCTCACACCCGCGCCGACGTGCTGGTGAGCTGTGTGGCAGCGCGCACCTAAGGCCTCGGCCCCGGAACAGCCTCTGGGATGTCTTCAGGAAACCATCTGAAATTTGGGAAAAGCATTATGCACAGAGATATTCATAACATCACAGAGATGTTACTTGTGACAGTAAAAGTGGCAATGATCCAGCTGTTCACGGATAGGTTGTGTACTGTGGACAGTCCTGATGGGGTAGTCACGAAAAGCGAGATGCACACGCACAGCACGAGGCACAGTTGTCCTGCCCTCCACCACCTCCTGTCATTGGTCTGGTTGGATTTGGGGGTGGGGCTGAGGGAAGGAGAGAATGGGGTTATAATGTCAGAAATAAAAACTTCACAAAAAGGTTTTGATAATGATGTTTATACATAACTTGCAGCATCATGGAAAATGCTTTTGTTAAATGGACAGCAGGCTGTGAAGTTGTATGCACACCATGATTGCAACCATATTCACTGGAAACGGGTTAGAAAAAGTCTGAACAAGCCTTGGGAAATAATTTTGTATGGGAATCTCAAGTTTCTGCATGAGTTCCACATAAGGAATAGTAAAGAATCAACAATATATATTAAAACAAAGTGTCTTTAAACAGAAACACACATAAAACATTTATTGTCCAGGTGATGAAAATGTTGTGGTTAGGGGCTTGCAGGAACCTAGCGCTACATGTCCCGGAGGAGCAATGGTTCAGTTTTCGTGAAGTCAGTGTTTGCAGTGACTTTGAAAACTATCACTGAAAATCTGTATCAACTGTATTAATAGCAAACAGAAGCAAAAAGTGCTTTTGTGGTGAGAAGGCTGTCCTTAATCCCAGAGCCTTCAGTCCAGCTGTGACTGGTGTCCTTTTGTGCAGCGGTGAGGTCTGGGTCCTGCTGATCGCATGTCAGAACCACTCTCCCATCCTGCGTTGCCCACGCCCTGCCATTTCCTTGGGAGCATTCCCTAGCATTGTTGATCTCAGCTGCCTCACCCATAGAGAGAATAACGCATGCTTGACAGACAGTTGTGTGACCCCTGCCCTCGTGCCTAGTGCCTGCTTTGTGCTCAGTTGATAACAAATTGTGACACATCTGCACAATGGCATTCACAGTAAAAAGAGAACTGCTGATACACCCAGTAATCTGGTGAAGCATTATGCTAAGTAAAAGAAGCCAGACCCAGAGGAGTGCATACTGCGTGACTCCATTTATATGAAATTCCAGATCAAGCAATACTAACTTGCTATGACAGAAGGCAGATCCTCGGTTGCCTGCCGGGCTGGGGCTGGGGCTGGGGCTGACTGCAGGGGCATGGTGGGAATGTTCTGTATCTGGGGAGATGGAAATGTTTGGTACCTTGATTGTGATGGTTAGTTACAAGGGTGTAATGTTTGTCACAACTCATTAAACTGTACACTTAAAACGGATGCCTTTTGTTGTATGAAATTAGATCACAATGAAGTTGATTTTTTAAAAAAGAAAATGGCACAGCTCCTGCTCTTACAGAGCCAGCAGGGATGAGATGTGATGCAAGCAATGAGAGAAATGCATGCGGAGTCGCAAACTGAAGCTGTGCAGGGCTCGGCGGGGTCTCTGAGAAACCAGGGCCCAAGGTCGCCTGGGAGGTAAAGCCTGACCAGGGACTGAGTGCCACTGTCAGCATCATTACGAATAACTTTTGTTATTACCAAGGCACTGTTTCCTGTGCATGGAGAAACGAGAGTAAGAAGACAGGTAGAAGGAAGGAGAGAAGGGCTAAGCCCCCCGCCAACCCTGCCTACCCAGCGCTTTGTCGGGAGGTACACCCCCAGGCCCTTCCTGCTGAGCTGGGCCTTAGAGGCTGAGCAGGTGTCACTGGCCCCACGCGGCAGGCCCTGTGGCTGAAAGGAGCAGCCTGTCTAGGTGGAGGGTGAAGGCAACCCAGTCAGTTGATCAAACTAGGACTTGGGCTACCCAACGCCGTCTGAGTTAGCCATGCTGGAGGGAGGCTGGGCCACAGCCATAGCTACAGCTGTGGCTACGGCTGCCCGGAGGGAATGGCCAGGACCCAGAGTCCTGATGGGGGCCGGTGGGGTGGAGGTGGAAGGGGCTCAGGACCCAGCTGTGACGTGGGAGCTGTACCTCTGTGCCCGTGGCCCCACACCCTCAGGTATACAGAATTGAGCTGTCCATTCACAAACCACATTACTAATTCTGCCTGTCAGTGATTAGGCTTAGCAACGGTCAGTGGGAATCAGGCCCAGGGCATTCCTGTGCTGCCCACTCAGCCAGACACCTCTCCAGGAGAGCCCACTGAGTGTCACCTGTGTCCTTCACGCCCCCGTAGGCTTTCCCTGCAGGGGGGCGGGGGCATCGCAGTGAGACCTGTGTCTCTCATCAGCACCTGGCACTTCCCCAGGTCCAGGTGAGCAGCAGGCTGGAAGCCATGGGCTTGAGGCATGGTGTTCTGTGGGGTCTGTAGCCCTGGGAGCCCAGAGTGCGCCTGGGCACCCTTCAGTAAGGAGCGCATGGTGCTGCCCCTTCCCGCAGATCGGCCCCCACCCCAGCTCCAGGGACCTGCTCTCAGCCCAGGAGAGAGGCGTGTGCTAAGCCCAGGCCTGGGTGCCTCACAGCACAGGGCCCTTGGGGACCCCCTGCTCCTCTAGGCCCTCTGTCCATCCTGCCTTTGCTGGCCCCCACATGACCTCCAGGGGCGTTGTCACCACGGCGCGCCTGGGGGCTCAGTCTCATTCCCCAGCTGGGCCTGCTGGTCTGTGTAGTGCCGGCAAGTTGCTCTGGCTCTGGGCCCCTTCCCAGCCCTGAAGGAAGATCAGATCCAGTTGGTGGCTGGCGTGAGGACCTCGCAAGCCGACGTGAAGATTGCCCGCCCAGTGCGAGGCCCGGGACATGCAGCAGTCTGTCCATCTATCCACTCCTGGATTTTGCCCTTTGACGAAGCTACTGCCTGTCTGCCTGTGGTTTGCACAGAAGGTCCTGGTTCCCACATTTGAACCACAGTGATTATTAACAACCCCCTTTTCACTCTCAAAAGTGTCCCAGCTTGGATGACAGATGATGTTATTTGTCATGGCCTACAGCTGGGAGCCTACAGCTGGCAGTGGGCTGGCACCCCACAGTAACGGATGGGCAGGAGGGGTCCCAGGCCGGTGTCCACTCAACGTTCCTGGTACGTTTCAGGTCTTGGCTGGTTTGCCTAGAAAGCACACCGATTCAGCGTACGTTCGTTAGGTGACAAGATGTTTAGCATTTGGGGGAATCCTTTTTTTTTTAAAGAGGTCCTTTAAGCAAGTTCTTTTTTTTGTAAGCAAGTCTCTCTTGGGATTCCTTTGCCTTAATCTGAAGTAATGTTTCAAACAAATGTCCCCGTAACGATAGTTAACACAGTGAGGGATTTCAGGAGAAGCCAACTCAGAGCAGGGAAGGCACCGCCACCCCCTTAGAGTCCAGGAAGGGCCACTGTGATGTTTCGAGCACCTGTGTCCCCGGGCTTCACCTTCCCTCAGGGTCGGTGGGAATGCCAGCCACCCGCCTCACCTTGGTCTGCAGTCCTGTCGGCTCAGTGTGGTCACCCTGGTGGGAGCTCCTGCTGATCAGAAACTCTAGCGGTGATTTTCAGTGAGTTTGACTAAAAGATGGGAGATGAAGCAGCAATTTATGAATGTGGCTGGTTTGGCAGGGCTCACACCCGTGCCGACGTGCTAGGTGTGGCAGCGCGCACCTAAGGCCTCGGCCCCGGAACAGCCTCTGGGATGTCTTCAGGAAACCATCTGAAATTTGGGAAAAGCATTATGCACAGAGATATTCATAACATCACAGAGATGTTACTTGTGACAGTAAAAGTGGCAATGATCCAGCTGTTCACGGATAGGTTGTGTACTGTGGACAGCCCTGATGGGGTAGTCACGAAAAGCGAGATGCACACGCACAGCACGAGGCACAGTTGTCCTGCCCTCCACCACCTCCTGTCATTGGTCTGGTTGGATTTGGGGGTGGGGCTGACGGAAGGAGAGAATGGGGTTATAATGTCAGAAATAAAAACTTCACAAAACGGTTTTGATAATGATGTTTATACATAACTTGCAGCATCATGGAAAATGCTTTTGTTAAATGGACAGCAGGCTGTGAAGTTGTATGCACACCATGATTGCAACCATATTCACTGCAAACGGGTTAGAAAAAGTCTGAACAAGCCTTGGGAAATAATTTTGTATGGGAATCTCAAGTTTCTGCATGAGTTCCACATAAAATAGTAAAGAATCAACAATATATATTAAAACAAAGTGTCTTTAAACAGAAACACACATAAAACATTTATTGTCCAGGTGATGAAAATGTTGTGGTTAGGGGCTTGCAGGAACCTAGCGCTACATGTCCCGGAGGAGCAATGGTTCAGTTTTCGTGAAGTCAGTGTTTGCAGTGACTTTGAAAACTATCACTGAAAATCTGTATCAACTGTATTAATAGCAAACAGAAGCAAAAAGTGCTTTTGTGGTGAGAAGGCTGTCCTTAATCCCAGAGCCTTCAGTCCAGCTGTGACTGGTGTCCTTTTGTGCAGCGGTGAGGTCTGGGTCCTGCTGATCGCATGTCAGAACCACTCTCCCATCCTGCGTTGCCCACGCCCTGCCATTTCCTTGGGAGCATTCCCTAGCTTTGTTGATCTCAGCTGCCTCACCCATAGAGAGAATAACGCATGCTTGACAGACAGTTGTGTGACCCCTGCCCTCGTGCCTAGTGCCTGCTTTGTGCTCAGTTGATGTTCCACCTCTCTCTGTGCTAAACAGTGATGCTCCATTAGCCCTCTTACTCCATCCATAATGGGGTTCAGTGGGCCACCCTGCCACAAGCCCCTCCCCACCATTGCAGAAAGTTTGGGAAATAAAATATTTTCCCGTATTCCTTCACCATTCCAACCCCGTGATTTTCATGTTTGTGAATTCCCTCCCAAGTGTTTACCACATGCAGATCTGTTTATGCATCGCATCCTTGCTTTTTGTCCAATCTGGCATCCTGAATTTTCATTTAATATTAAAGTATTTCTCCTGTTCTTTTTAATGATTGTTTACTCTTCCTTAGACTAATAGAAGGAAATACATTTAATTGCTAGCAGTTGTGGTGTTAGAGCAGCACAATTATAGAATATTTTTCTTCTTCCCTTTGTTTTTAGATTTCTTGCAATACATTTTAAGATTTAAAATATGCTCAAATGTCAACCCTCACTCGTTGATGTATTAAACTCTTACTCATCCTGTCTCAGCACTCCTGGCCGATGTCACATTTGAAGAAAACACTTGTAATCCCTTCCAGGAGTGCACACTGGATATTTTCAATCTGAAGGGCAATAAGCATGGTCTAAATTCTACTTATGCTAAGAGAGGGAAAGTATTCTGAAAATTCAGTAGCTTGAGGTAGAATTTTATCCCCATTCCTTTCCTGATGCATTTAACAAATACAAGGCCACACTTAAGTTCTGGAAGGCAGGGACCATTTCTTGTGTGCCTGATACCAGGGCTAGCACATAGTAGGTGCTCAGTAAACATTTGGAGAGAGAGAGAGAGTATTTCACTTAAGATTCACACTGTGTTTGGGGGAAGGAATTTAAGGCTCATTCAGAGTTCGTTTCTTTCAAGGGCTCCAAGTAGACATCAGAAAAATAAGGCTTTAAAGTTGTTGAAAAAATTTATTTCAATCAACAGGTTAAAAATGCCACAGCCACAGTGCTAGAGAAATTCTTCTCCAAGTGCACTAAGTTGTCCTGACCAGGGCTGCTTTCAGAGACCATCTCCTCCCATCGTATGGAATGAACCGTGTGCTTTTTAATGAGAAATCCCTTCTCATTGAGACAGAACACAGGGCTCTAGCTTAGCTCTCAGTTTTCCATGGGAATACGCTTTTTTGAGGATTCTCTCCTGAATCTATATTGAAGATATCAACTAAAGTAGATTCATTTCAGAAGTGAAAAAATAAGAGCATAAATTCACCTGGACCAGGCTCTGGAGGGCTGCAGCCCCTGCTGCCCCGGGAGTGTGCAGAACGCCTCGGTATCTGGAGATGCCTCCACAGATAGGTTGGTGTGCCTGCTAGCTCTTCACACTGTAGGTAGGCTGAATTATGCCCCTAAAGATACCCCCAGCCTAATCCCAGGAATGTGTGACTATGTTAGGTTACATGGTAAAGGGGAATTAAAGTTGCAGATTAAGTTAGAGCTGCGAATCAATAGACTTTAACATTGGGAGATTATCCTCTTATCTCATGTGACAATGTCATCACAAGGGCCTTTAGAAGTGGAAGGGGCCTTAGAGTCATCCAGTTCATGAAGACAGAAAGTAGAATGGTGTTTGCCAGGGACTAATGTGAGCTAAGGCGAAGGAGGTGTGTGGAGCTAGTGTTTAATGAGTAGAGTGTTTGAGGTTTGCAAGGTGATGGTGATAATAGTTGTACAACAATGTGAATGTACTTAGTGCCGCTGAACTGTACACTTAGAAATGGTTATATCCTAAAAACTACTGAATTGTGCACTTTAAAATGGTTAATTTTACTTATGTGAATTAGATCTCAAAAAAAAAAAAAAGGGATGTAAGATAGAACAACCCCTTTTCCCTGCCTCTGGGCTTGATATATAAGGGTGCAATGCCTGGAGCTACTGCAACCATCTTGCAGCCAGGAGAGACACTGGACACATGCAGAGTGCAGCCAAGCACAAAGGTGGAAACTCCTGGACTCTTGATGACAGTGATGAGCCCCTGAAATAACTGACCTAACTTCTGACTTCTTGTAATGTGACCTATCAACATCCTGATTGTTGAAGCCATTCAATGGGTTTTCCTGTTCCTTGCAGCCAAGGGCATCCCTCCACAGAGTCCCGAGCACACTGTGCGCTCTCCAGGGATCACTCCTGCCCGAGGAGCAGGTCTCATTCCCACTGGCCTGGAGGAAGAGGCGTGCCCTCCACACTTTTCTCCAGCTGCGTCTTCTCCTCTGGTGCTCCCCACCTGCCGCAGCTTCTCCACCCAGCCTGTGGTCTCGAGGTGTACTGCCTCCGTGGCTGTCCTCTCTGGCCCCTCCACGTGGCTCTTCCCCTGCAGCACTGACCCCAGGGCATCAGTTGACCAAGTGTCCCTCTGTGCCCTCCCAGGGAGCCAGTCCCAGGCCTGATTCATCAGGCTTCCTCGCAGAGCCCTACACAGGCCCTGGCATCTAGTAGGCCCTCAGGAATTGCTTACTGAGTTGATCAAAGAGGTGAGAGCGGCTTAGAGTGCACGTGATGGGATGAATCGGCCCCTGCTGGCAGGTGGGTAGGAGTCCAGCAGCAGCCAGAGCACCTTCCACGTGCTGCCTGGGCGGAGCTCCTGCCATGCCAGAAGGCGTCTAATCTTCACAACTGGCCGAGGAGGTAAGCACTGCGGTCTCCCTCTTACAGATGCAGAAGGGAGGCTCAGCCAGATGAACTCCCACTCCCAAGGTCCCACAGCTGCTGGGGGGACAAGCTGGGGTTCAGACAGAGACCTGACTCGGAGGTACAGTAACAGCGACAACCACCTTTACAGAGTCGCCACGTGCGCCAAGCACCAAGCTGACTCTAACTCTCCCGACAGCTCTGCTAGGGGGGATTGTTATTAGCTCCATTGTATAGATCAGGAAACTGAGGTCCAAAGGGAGACAGTCCACAGCCGAGCCCGGCAATGGAAGCTGGTGGCCAGCTCCAGACTCCCTGCTTCCCCACCAAGCACAGCTTGGCACAGAGGCTCACAGTGCCTCCTGGGCATCAGCAAGGCCAGGTGTGTGTGACCAGGACATTGGGCAGAGGAAAAACGGAGCTGGCCGGCAGACAGCCGTGACAAGGTGTTGACTAATCCCAGCCCCTGTGGGCTGTGCAGTGAGTCAGACACCGTCTTGAATACTCTGGTACTAACTGTAGGCTCACATCGCACCCTCTGGTCTCTGACACCTGGCAGACCTGCGTTCTGCCTGTCCCCGGCTGTGTGACCATGGGCTCCGACGTGCCTTCTCTGGGCCGCAGCCCCCCAGAACGTCAGCAGAGGGTGCTGTGTGCACAAAGGTGCTGTGAGGGTCACGGTCACTGGGAGCAGCCTTTAACAGGCTCCCTAAACAGTGGCTGTAGTCCCCTCACTGAGTACGCTCCTCCCCGCAGGGCTGGGGGCTTCTCCCTCCCTGCGGTGCCCGGAGATGCCCATGCCCCAGCCCCTGGGCTACCTTGCACGGCAAAAGGGACTTGGCAGATGTGGCCAGTTAGCAGCCTTGAACTGGGAGATGATCCAGGTTACCCAGGCGGGCCCGGTGTAAGCACAGGACCCCCTAGAAGAGGAAGGGGGGGAGGGAGGCAGAATCGGTCAGGGAGGCGACAACAGAAAAGGCAGGAGAGACTCGCCGTGTGCCGGGGACTGACGCGGGCGTCCGGCCTTGAGAGCGGAGGGCCGTGGCCGCTGGGGGTGGCAGGCAAGGAAGCGGGGCCTCAGTCCTGTACCTGCAGGAGCCGAGTTCCACCAACAACTCCAAAGCGCCAGGAAAACGGCTTCCCCAGGAGCGCGGGGCGTCATACTGCACAATTGGGAGGTCACTGGCGTCGCGCTGAGCCTCCGACCCTGTGCCGCCCGACGGCAGCCACAGACAGCGACCACGCTCCCGCTCCCGGGGACGAGCGCTCCGTCCTCACCGCAGCTCCACGGGCGCTGGGCGCCCAGCGCGGCTCCCTGAACCGGGGTGCGCGATCATTTCCCACAGTCTCTGGGCAGAACGTGGGCCGGATGGTGGAGCCTCAAAAAGGCCAAGCTTACTAGGTAGGCTCTGGGCCCAAATACAGCGCTGGATATGAGTGTACTTGTTAAAAAAAAAAAAGCCAAGTGCTGACCCACTTTTTCCTGACTGCTCTGGCTCAGGCATGTTCCTCTGAAAGGAAATTTATTTCCAGTACATGCTGTTCCCCAGGCTGACATCACTCTCCTCAATTGGAAGAAATACTTAGGAGAGCTCTCAGGGGCTGGCGTCCAACGCCTGATAATGGAGTAAAAGGTCCGCCAGAAACCGCCGTGTTTGTTTTAACTGCGTCAGCCTGGCGGTGGTGTGGCTGGGAGTTTGGCCAGAGTTAGCATCTCCAGCCAGGAGGAATGCTGTGTGGTGTTGGGTTGCCAGCACCCCAGTCCTCTGTGCAAACCCTGGCGGGCCACAGAGGCAGCACAGCCTGACTTACAGAGGTGGACACCCATGGCAGACTGCCATGGAGGCTGCTCCGAGGCCGGAGTGTGCGCCCTGGAAGACTGCGCCTTCCGAGGGCTGCGAGTCTCTGAGCAGGGCCCGCTTGGCCCAGGGTGGCTCTGTCGATGCACGTGGAGACCTGCGCCAGCCCTGGGACACGGAGATGCCCGGGTGAGTCAGGGAGAGCGCGCGGGCTGTGGAGCCAACCAGCCTCTGCTTACACCCTGGCTCCCCGCTTACTGCCTGGGGGCCTTGCAAGGAGCCTCAGCCACCCGGCCTGTGAACGGGCATTGCAGGCATTCCTATGGCCACTGTAACAAATCACCACAAACTCAGTTGCTTAAATGACACTATTAAAGTTCTGGAAGACAGAAGTCCTGAAGTCACAGTGTCATCAGGGCTGTGTTCCTTTTGGAGGTCCGAAGGGAGACTCCGTTCCTCGCTTTTCTCAGCTTCTAGGGGCACCTGCATTCCCTGGCTTGTGGCCCCTTACCATCTGCAAAGCCAGCAGCCATCAGGCCTTCAAGTCCCTTGGGTGGTGTCTACCGCTGTCAGCACGCCTTTGTCTCTGACCCTCTTGCCTTTTACAAGGACCGTTGGGGTGACACTGGGTGCTCCAGGATAATCTCCCATCAACAAAATCCTTAATTCAATCACATCAGCAGAGCCCCTTTTGTCATGGAGGGTCACATATTCCCAGGTTCTGAGGATCAGGGTGTTGACTTCTTTGAGGCCACTGTGTTTCCTTCCATAGGATAATCATGCATATTTTGAATGTTTTTATCAAGATACACATGGTCTATGAGTTTGCTAGGTTGTCCTTTTCTAAAGGTGGGAGGGTCCCACTAGGGGTCTGGACCCTGTGCCCTGGTCCATGTCCCATCGTGCCCCCATGCGGTGTACTTCTGATGCCACTCCTTTCCTGGGTCTAACTCCCACCCTCCTCTGCCAAGTTCAGGACCCCCATTCTCCATCCAGCTTCAGTCTTATTTCTTCTGTTTCTAGTCAAGGGTATTATCTTGTTTTTTTGTGCACAGTTTTATGTATGCATATACATATATATGTATATTGTTTTCCTATTTTTGTATTTCCCCATCATTGCTGATTGTTGTGATTTGGAAGAGAGGGACATGCCCAAGCTTGAATTTACCCTCTATCTTGACTGGAATTCCATTCCCTGAGAAGTTGTCTATATTCTGCCAATCACCTTAAGGTTCTTTTTCAAGTTTTCTCAAAAATGACATTTATTGGTTAGTGGGTTTTATGTGGATATTAAAATGTTTTCAACTTAAGTAGCTGCAAAGGGCATAAACCTCAGCATACTGAAATTTCAACATAAAAAAGTTACTTTTAAACGTACCTAAGTGGAATCTAAAACCATGTCATTGTAACCCACTGACAACATACATGTACACACTCTTCTTTAACCTTGAAGATTTCCACTCTACTTCGTGTACCACTTCTTTATACTTTTACTTATCACCTGACAAACTTCCCTTGAATGGAAATACCTATGTAAATTGAAATTTAAAAAATTGAAATTCCTAAGCCGAAAGGCTCTAAGAATAAGGATCTTTTTCTTCTTTGTTGCTTTATTATTAAAAATTACTATTGGCACACAATTGGCTGAAAAATTAAAATTTATTATAAATTTGGATAAATATTAGATTAAGATAAAGGTAAGTTTTATTGGAGATAAATCTCTTTATGAAATAAATATTTTAAAGCCATTTTATGGACCTGAGAGTGTTTATTTTTTGCTTGAATGAGAGAGATTATGCACCAATCCTATTGCCAGTTTTAGTTTTTGTGTGTGTGTTGAAAGCCTTGTTCACATAAATAAGTAGAATGGGAACAGAAGAAATTATAGAAGTGTCTCTCAATTCTCTGAACTCAAATGTGATTAAGATCAAAAATCATTTTTAGTGATTTGTCAGCTAACAACACAGCAGGTTTTCCTTCAATTTTGTTGAAAGAAAATAACTGAAACTAGTTAGTTTGCAAAATGACTTGTTATCCAGTCATGAGAATCAATCCTGTTCTTAATTTCTGGGCAGTACTACCGAGAATTAGCACATGACTCTTAAATGCACTTATTGCTCATTTACTTGGAGGTGCCCCGTCTAACCCGACGTGCTCAGCAGCTGGGAAAAATGAAATCCGGTTCGTTCCAGTTTGCCGTTGCCAAGTGAGAAGCACTGATATGAGTGACAGGATCCAGTAATATTGGGGAGTGTTCCTGAAGACCAGTGTCCGGGGAGACCGAGTAAGGGTCGTGACAATGCTGGTGAAGTGACCCATGTCTGAATGTGACACTGATCTGCCAAAAGCAAAATGAAACCTGTTTTTTCAAAGGGAAACTTCTGACTTTCTCCCATTGAAATCACTCAAAAGATGCAACCACAGACTGAGCTGTGGGAAAGGAAATACTCACCAGCCTTTTGTCGTTGCTGAGAACAGTACGATGGACAAACAGCTAGGTAGAAGACTGGCTTTTCCCAGCATGCTTTTTACAATTCTCAAAAATTCTAATTGTAAGGAAAAATTATCCAAAACGTGGAGGTGAGGTAGAGAGATGACTCTTTCAGAGTCTGCTGAGTGTGGTGTGGGGTGAGTCTGGTGGTGTCATTCGGGGCTTTGATGACGTTGTTGGGGGTAGGTGCGAGTTCCAGAAAGCTGACAGTGACTTCAGCTTCTTGAGCTCCAGCAAGGCCAACGGTACCGTCTTGCAGAGATGCACGTGAGATGACAGTTCCAAATCCACAGTTTTATTTTGTGTTCATTTTCCAGTCCTACTCCTGTATTATTTCTTTCAGGGAATGTAGATTTGATTGTCTCTTTCATATGCTTTTTGGAAGCCTGCCGTTTCCTTCCATTTAGGAGTTACATTTGATACAGGTTCATTTTATATGTTTGTTATCAACTTTATGGAACACATTATTGCGTATAATAAAATGTGCCCACTTTAAGTGCCAGAGGCCAGTGAGGTTTGAATAATGTAAACGCCCCTGTAACCACTGCCACAATCGAGGTGTAGACATTTCCAACGACGCAAAAAGTCACTGCGCGCCTTCCCAGTCAACCCCGTCTGGGGCCTGCGCCTCACGTGATCCTCCTGCCACGGCGAGGGTGAGTCATCCTTCCCGGAGCCTCCCATACATGAGGTCATTTGCTCTGTGTGTGACTTTCACGCACACATCTGGGAGAGCCATCCACGCAGCGGAGTGTATCGGGACTTGATTCTTTTCTATTGCTTTGTCAAATCCCCCTGTCCTTGTTGTGGAACATTGGGTCATTCCTCTTTTGTGGTGATTATGAACGAAGCCGCTATGAGCATTCGGGGGCATGATTTTGTGCCTCTTCCGAAGAGGGGAATTACTGGGTCATCCAAGTGAATGCTTGTGTGTGGAATGGAAACTGCCAAACCTCATACCAAAGCCTTTGTGCCATGTTACGTCCCACTGGCAATGCTCTCCCGTCACTCTGTCTTCTGTTAGCTGCGGAGAGGCCCCGCCCCGGGAGCTGGTGTGGGCAGGGAAGCCCTGCACGTGCGCCCCTGGGGGGTGAGCCCGAGGCCACACGGCCCTGTGCGGGTCGGCCCCTCCCAGCGCTCTCCTTTCCCGTCTGTCTGCTCGGCTCAGCGAGGCTGGGCTCTCAGTCCGTCTCTCGCAGCTGCGCATCGGACACAGGCCCCAGGCGAGGGCTCCCCTCCGGCCCGGGACAGCCCTTAGCTGCCTGCTGCCAATGTCTCAGAGCAGCTGTTTTCTCTTTCCTCCCAGTACTCTGATGCTCACAGAGGAAGGGTGAGTCTCATTGCCGTTACTGTCCCTGTATTTGTTTTTCACTTTTTGAAAATTACACTTTTACATACTTTTAAGAGAGACACATAGCTAAGGCCCGAGGCTCTGCTTGGGGACAGGGGCGTCCTCCCCTTCCGCTGTCACCTGCACTCTCTCTGCTCTGACAGGCTCTCCCTTAGGCGGGAGTGGGGGACCCAGCTTCCTCTGCAAACACGGTCTCAGGTAAGTCAGCCTCCTGAACGAGCCAGGTCCTCGTGGGGCTTTCAGGGGGAAATCGAGTCCCTTAAAATGAGACGATACAGAGTTCTTAGAATAGTGACTCAGATCGCCGGTGCCCAGCCAAATGGTAGCAGCATACAAAGGCTGTAAAGCAGGTGGGCTTCATGTTACCCCCTGCCTCCCTCGCAGCATGCCACTGTACCCCGGGAGCCCTCAGGCCTTTATTATCCTCCCCTGCCCGGGGTTTGTCCCTGGTCTGCGGCCCATGTTCTGTTATCACGTCTCCTTTTGCCCATGTAACAACAGTCCGTGGAAGTCCTGACCCAGTCCTGGTCCCTGTGCTGGAGATG